TCATTCAAACAAGCAGCTGGAATATTGTCATGGAGACTTTCTACTTGGGATCTAGCATCTCTGGGTCTGAACATCTAATGCAGTGGTTCTCAACCTATGGCTCACGACCCCTTTGGGGGGGTCATATATCAAATGTGCCACATATCAGATATTTACATTATGATTCATAACTGTAGCAAAATTACAGTTATGAAGTAGCAATGAAATAATTTTATGGTTGGGCATCACTATAACATGAGGAACTGTATTAAAGGATCACAGCATTAGGAAGGTTGAGAACCACTGCTCTAATTAGACGTGTGTCTTAGACGTCTAGAACCATAGCATTTCAGGGTGAACTATAAGTAAACAGCAGTTTGCTCCTTCTGGTTCACCTTTCTTGCTCTCCTGTCTTATAGGGTAACATAGATTCTCTGTGGGTTCTTTTATGTGTTAGTTGCTATATTTGGTTATGAGTAATAGATATAATGATCAGCGTGTAGCTAATGGAAACCAAAGACACCAACATCGCTGGGATGGAGTAGGGGACTATGGCTGTCCTTCAGCTGCTTCATACTTATTTCAAAGGAAACTTTCCCTCTTCCCTCCTGGTTGGTGGGCAGGAGAAACCTTCAGACATGCAGAGTGTGTACCCACAGGTCAGCCACAGGCAGAGACCATCCTTTCTGGTTCCCATGCTTGCTGATTCACTGTGGCTCACCTTGGAGCATGTAGCCATCATCAGTCCAAAGAACTGCAGTGAGTCCACAGAATTGACCAGCACAGATGTAGCTGCTGGGCTCTGGCTTGTCCCTGAGAGGAGAAGGGTTCAAGGTCCAGACAAGAAGTCCATGGTTCCATGGCAGATAGGTGCCTTCAAGAGGCATCTAATCCATTAGGTTTAGATGTATTCATCCATTATAAACTTATGGCTGCTGCTGATATGGTAGCCACTGTTCAGGGTTAGGCAAGGTAAGTCCCTTCCTTCAAAGCCTTGGCCATCGATTGTCCTCTGCCTTCTGTGGGTGCAAACTGAGCACTTATCAATTCGCCTAGTTTTGTTCTCTTAATCCTTTCCCTCCCCATTTGGTTTCTTTCTCATCTACCAAGTATCTATTGACCCCCTCAGTTGCTGACACTGTGCCTACTTTTTTGGGGGCGTTATAAGCATACCCTTGGCTTTTGTGTGGTGGTATCTGCAAAATGCATTAACTCAGAGTTTGTCTCAGAAGTCCAAATCTGAAACCGTCACCATAATGTGCTCTGCTATATATGGCACAGTGTTTTCCTTAGGCAATACAGATTTGTGTTCTTTTGAAAACCTATCTTCCAGCCCGGGGTAGGTCAAGATGAGGTCACAGCGGTAGAAGAAATTTATCTGCATCTTGGCATTGGGGAACTCTTGACTATTTCTTCACAGACTAAAATCTCCAAGTCTGACTTTTGTAAGTACAGGTGGATGGGCATTATGGCATGCTAGGAACGTGGGAGATTCGATGTCCCTCTTGTTCTCTCACCTCTTATTTGTGTCAATAATCTTTTGCCATCTAGTACTTTTCAGAATTTAAATGTTGGGCAAACTATTGTTTTCATTCTTTTATTATTTTTAATTATGTGTATGGGTGTGTGTATATATGTCCCATGCTTGCACGTGCCCATGCAAGTCAGAGGTGTCAGGTTGCTTAGAACTGGATTTACAGGCCTTTTAGAGCCACCTAACATGGGTACTAGAACCCGAACTGGCATCCTCTCTAACAGTAGTATGTGCCCTTAACTGCTGGCCATCACTCCGTGATTTCTGTCTGTAACGCTTTTGTCCTAGTCTGCTTTAAGCTCAGGTATCTAATCCTCTCCCCCTTTAGAACCCACACATCCAGCTTCCATCTCGCAAAGGACAGTCTTGCAGTTTCCTCCTGGGAAGACTTTCAGGTCTAAGTTTTCTGTCACTCTTCACTCAACCCATGGCTCACATTGAGACTGCACAGCTGATCTTTGTACAGCCCATCTGCTTCTGTCTCCTGCTGCTCTGTTCATCACTGCTGGATGCCATCGTTCTTGCTTAGACATCGTCTGTGGCTTCAGCCCGGGTCAAAGCTGGGCCTTCTCAACCCTGTGTGTCATCTGCAGTCTGCCCACAGGCTCCGTTCTCCGAGCTTCTTTTCTGCTCTTCCTCAGTTTGAATCCTCAACATGAATTTATTTTTCACTTGGCCCCCAATACAATTTTTTGTCTCCTTAACATTTAGTTGGGCTTTCCTTGTCCTCATCCACAGTGCCCTCGTCTTTTCTAACAAAATCCATGCCCAACCTGTAAGGCTGTTATATCTTCCAACCACTTCTCCACCCAAAGCACAAAGTGATTGTGTGACCTCTGACCTCCCTTAACCTTCAATCCCACTCGTAGTTACTTGGTTATAAACTGTCACTCACTGCTAGGTAGCTGTAATGGTGTAGGTTGTCACTTGATTCCTTAAACTACTTGATACTTTAGAAGACAAGAGGTGAGACCTCCCATTTGGTGAACCCAGCAGCATCTAACTGATTTTTCAGGTGTGCTGCTTATGGGTATCATTTATAAAGCAGTACAGTGCAGAATCCGTGAGTATGCAGTCCACAAAGTAGGAAATAGGGGGAGTTCTCTTGATGATGTCGATTCCATGGATTCACGTGATGCTTAGAAGAGGGGAGAGCCACTAAGTGAGTGCAGTCCTGGCAACAAACTGTTTGATCCAAGCTAATGTCAGGTCTTTGATCCTCTGTGCCTATCACCGTAGGTCTACCCGGGAAATTCAAAGGCATCATTTATGGGTTCCCATCATGTGCCAGGTTATGGGACTCTGGGAGTCTCATTCAGGTGACTCTAGTAGACAAAACAGATCCCTGCTGTCCTGGAACTTGAGCTGCTGGGTCTGGGAAAACAGCACAAATAAATAGGATCAGGTGATAGCGATGAATGCTGAGGTGGAAAACAAACCAGGTTAAGTGGCAGAGAGAAAAACTGTCCTTCTATACCAACTGGTCACGAAGACATTCTCCATCTGTCTGAAAGTAGTGTGTGCTTTAAAATGCAGCCGGGTTGGGGATAGGGTTCAGTGGTAGAGCACTTGCGAGGTTCTGAGCTCTATTCCTGGCCTATAGAAAGAAGAAAATAAACCTAAAATCAAAACAAAACAAAGCCCATTCGATGGAAATCCAGGAAGTAGAGCTGGTGGGGTAACCAGGATGGAAGTAGACATTCTTGTTTCCTGTTGCCCCTCCTCTGCAATGAGAGGGCTTGGCGGTGTCTACTGGCTAGGGTAGACCCTCGAAAGCAGGTGATGAAAGGGAAAAGGTGAAGGATTGGTCCTACAGTAACAAATAGCCTGGGTGTGGTGCACCCCTTCGTGAAGGAGCAGAAAACGGGTGTGTCTGGATTGTGGACCCAGGTGTGAGCACCGAAGCCCGAACCTACCACGTGCTCTCGACTTTGGGAAAAGGAAAGGCTTAAGACTTCTTCACTAGTCTGGATAGTATGTCAGCTTTGGATATTCAATTTGCCTTCCAGTTTCCCATTTCTCATGTTAAGGATTGAAATCCTTACACTCAAGTTAACAAGATGATTTGACCAAAACTTAGTCTTTCAGATTTTCTCCATGCCACTAACAGTTTTCTCTGTAGCTAGCAAGTGGAAGTTTACTCCAATAAGATACAAGTTTTGTAAATGAGGTGCGATATACACCTCTTTGATAGGTAGAGAAGATGGGGTATTAGTTGGATAAATATTTAAGGAAAACAAGGTTCCACCCGCAGAGCTGGAGGTGTGGTGGTGGTGGTGGTGGTGGTGGTGGTGGTGGTGTGTGTGTGTGTGTGTGTGTGTGTGTGTGTGTGTGTTTCTGCTCGTGCAATGTGTATATCCTTCTGCATACACCTCAAGAAAAGTGCCTGGGAGTTCAGCTCACTCAGAAGCTTTGAGACAGGGCTTGCTATCAATGTTATAGAACTGGGAGGCGGGGAAGCTTGTGTGGGAGCCACAGAAACTACTTAAGCAAGGAACTGAGAGCTCATGCTCTGGACTAGAGCTGGCGAGGATGAAGATGAGCCGCTGAGGTGATCTGTGGACACCAGCAGCAGAGCCCTACAGGATGGCGGTGGGAGCAAGCTCTGCCCATCTGACTTGGGACTCTGATTCCACAGCACAGAGGGTGCTTTCACCTCCTGCTCCTGTGAAGACTGCACGTGGGGGCATCTCCCTAGGGCTGTTGGTCTCACTGTGACTAAACTCTGTCCAAGAGGCCCAGAAAACCCAGCTCCTGAGCACAATCCCTGGGACTAGGCGTGGCCTCGGCTAGGTGGATGTCTTCTGGCGCTCCTGCTGACTCCCTTGGCCTCCTCTCCAGTCTCAGGCAGTCTAGAATGGCCCTCCTGCCTTCGCCCCCAGCTAGCCTGGCCAGCGCGGGTACCGCAAGCTACATGCTCGGCCAGCTCCATCCTTGCGTGCGCTCCGGGCTGCCGAGATGCTCCGGAGCGCTGGGGTTGGGCAGGACGGACGGGGTAGCCCTGGGTCCGCGGGGCCTTCCGAAGGTCCAGGGCGGGATGAGGTCTCTCTTAAGTCCAGAGCTCGAGAAGCCTGGAGAACCTTCTCCACAAGTCCAGGTTGGGTGGGGCTTCCGAGGAGGGGCGGGGCCTCCACTGATTCACCGAGGGGCAGGGCGTCAGTCAGGGGCGGGGCCTCCGCCGATCCGTGGCCCGGCGGGGTCCCAGGGGTGGGGCCTATGCACAGGTCGGGGTGGGGCGTCTCAAGTCACCGAGGGGTGGGGACTCTCAGGTCCAGAGCCCGGCTGGGTGGGGCGGGGCCTGCCGCTGCCTCGGCGGCGGTGGCTCCAGTCTGGTCTCCAGGGGCAGCTCAGGTACATAGGCGGCCCCAGTCTCTCAAGAGCATCCTTCCCGGCTGGTCCCCGCCTGCAGCGCGCTCGCTCGCAGCATCGGGCCTGGAGGCTGACTTCTTTTGTGTTTTGTTTTCTGCCCCGCGCCTCGTCTCTGCAGGACCCGTTCGTTCTTCTGCGGGCTACAAGAAGGCAGAGGATGAGATGTCCCGGACCACGTCTGTTGGAGACCAGCTAGAGGCACCGGCCCGCATAATTTACCTCAACCAATCTCATCTCAACAAATTCTGCGACAACCAGATCAGGTAGGAGAAGCCGCAGCAGCCGGGTGAAGCTCCAGGCTCACCTTCACGGGATGGCTTTTCTGTCACCCGGGGGGCGGCCCCTCAGTCCACTTGCTTACCCCCCAGCCCTTGGCATCTCTGCCTCCTGCACCCACTTTGAGCCCAGAGGTCCACACCCGGTACCCAGTGGGTCATATGAACACAGCTGCTGTCTGCCTCCTCCTCTTGCAGTGCTGTGCCCAGTCCCTCTGTGGGCCCTGTGGAAGTTATTCTTATGCCAAAAGTGAAGGTGTCCACTCACCCCTGCACTGCCTTCCAAGAATCTCCTTAGTCTCCGTGTAACCTCATTGATGGTTCTCTTTGTCATACTACTCTCTTGAGTAGTTTGCAGAACGTCTGTGGGGACATACTTTATAAGGGAATCCCGCAGGCCACAGAAACTCACGTTCATTTCCCAGTGTCCCACTGCATTTGCTAAGGGTCTTATTTGCTAGGAAACTTTGTCCAGAGTCAGCAGAAAAAAAAAAAAATGAATGGAAGGTAGCATTTTAGTGTCTGATTAGAGTCTCCTCTTTGTCTGCTGGCCACTGTGTTAGATGTGTTAGCAGTGCTAGCATCTCCAGAGTCTCGTGGAGCAAGTCATTACCTCCAGGTCAGGAAACTGGAGTGGAGAGATGTGACATATTGTACGATGCTCATATATTAATAGCTACTAAATTGGAAAGCGGGAAATCGAACCCACTCATCTGACCAGCAAGTGTATTCCAGTTGCAGTGCAAAATTTGTTTCTTAGCTTGGTGTTCGCACACTTGGAAATGTCGTTGAACTTCTGGGCTTTGACCAGCTTAACCTCTGCGAGTGATTTCTGAGGATAGTTTTGTGAGCTATGTAGATCATCATACTCAGGCCTGGAAGATATGGATGGATCAGGTCCCATGAAGATTACTGAGATGCAATCTAGTGCTCTTTTTATCCCAGTACTCCGGAGGCAGAGCCAGGTGGATCTCTGTGAGTTCGAGGCCAGCCTGGGCCACCAAGTGAGTTCCAGGAAAGGTGAAAAGCTACACAGAGAAACCCTGTCTCGAAAAACCAAAAATAAATAAATAAATAAATAAACAAAGCTTTGGCTAAAACTTTGTTATTGTTACATATCTAACTATTACACTACCTCAGTAATGCCACACTGGCTGCCTAGCTTGCAGCAGGGTCTGGTTGTTGGTTATTTCTATAGCTTGATAGGATTTGGGAAAGAGTAACAATGCACTATATGTATTTATTTTATTAAGGGAGTGTCAGGTTGTGTGGCTTTATTTTGTGTTTCAAGAATGACCTTTGAACACAATTTATACTTAAAAATTAAAGCTTAGGATATCCGAGTCTTCATTCCTGAATAAATAGGCTTGTTTTGAAATATGGACCACTGCAGATATTGCAAACAGCCCATTATGATTTTTTAAATCAGGGTCATAAAAAAAGAGAGGAAATTGGAACCTTGTATATTGCCAATAGGAATGAAAGATGTGGGGGGCTGCTGCTTTGGAAAGCGGTTCAGCATACCTCCAAAAGGATCGGGGTAAAGTTAGTACAAGAGCCAAGCAATTCCAAGAGAAGCTAACACGTGTGGAAACAGAGGTCCTCACAAACACATGTACACCATGTTCATAGCAACAGGACTATGGTGGCCCAAACACGCACACATCAGGTCTTCATTCAGGTGAGTCTATGAGGTGTAGAAGAGCCACACAATGGAATATTATCTGGCTATAAAATGTTACAGCATGGGTGAATCTTAAAAGTATTAAATGAAAGGGCAAGTCATGAAAAGCCTCATTTCGTATGAACTGATTTATGTGAAATATCTAAAAGAGAGATGCATCTTGTGATACATTGGTGGTTTCTGGGACTGGTGAAGGACGATGGAAGTCTGGGGGATGGAGAGTGAGTGTGTAGCTTGGAATGATGTCTGTGTTACTCCGAATACATGAAAAGTCGTTTGGAGCTGAGCATTGGTCATATAGTTCCATGTCTCCACACTATTTCATGTTTCTATTGAGTTCCTTGTAAAAACACTAAGGTCATTTTTTAAAATGTTAAATATTGTGTAAGGAGATTCGATTGGAGCATCACTTTTCTTTCCTTTTTTTTTTTTAACTTTTATGCTTTTCAAAAGGTATTTTTGCTTTGTTCCACTCGTTTTGATATCTCTTTGTGGTGGTTTGAAACAGTGGCAATAAAGTAGCGATCTCCCCACCCCAATCTCTAGTTTCCATGGGAGGTGTGCTGTTTAGGTTTTTGTCAACTTGACACAAGCAAGGGTCACCTGGGAAGAGGGAACCTCATTTGAGAAAATGCCTCTGTTGGATGGTTCGGTCAGCAAGTCTGTGGGGGGACATTTTCTTGATTAGTGATGAATGCAGGTGAGCCCAGCCCACTGTGGATAGTAGCATCCCTGGGCAGGTAGTTCTTTGGTGTATAAGAAGGGAGGCTGATGAGCCATGGAGAGCAAGCCAGTGAGCAGCCTTCCTCCATGGTCTCTGCTTCAGCGCCTGCCTCCAGGTTCCTGCCTTGAGCTCCTGCTCTGACTTCCCTTCATGATGGCCTGAACACAGCAGGCTGAGATAAACCCTCTGCCCCCAAGTTGCTATGGTCATGTGCTTATCATAGCATTGGAAAGTGAACCAGGACAGGAGGCAAACGTTTAAGACCAGTGGAGCCTCGATACCTGTTTGTGTCAGGGCTGGTTTTATCCTTAGAGAGATTCCAACTGGTTACCTGATGCATAGTTTCATTTTGTACTTTTTTTTTTTTTTTGCAAGAAGGACTTAGGAATAAGTATGTGTATTGAATTGGCTAGGAATAAAGCAGGCATGTTCCAGCTGTGTAACTGCATGGCTGGATTCATTTAAATACATCATACTAAGTATTAAAATGTCAATGTCTGACTTTGTGACTTATCCTGTAGGAAGGTTTCTAAATGCACTGGACCCAGGCTGAGAACTTGACAGCGTGGCCCTTGCGCTTCTGTAAAATAGCCTTGGAGTACGTGTTCCACCTTTACTGTGTGTTAATGGGAATTGCTAATGGTTGTCGACGACGACGACTTGTAGTTCCTTAGGAACTGATTACAAAGATTGACACTAGAGTTTAGGCCTTTTTTTTTTTTTTGGTTTTTCGAGACAGGGTTTCTCTGTGTAGCTTTGCGCCTTTCCTGGAACTCACTTGGTAGTCCAGGCTGGCCTCGAACTCACAGAGATCTGCCTGGCTCTGCCTCCCGAGTGCTGGGATTAAAGGCGTGCGCCACCACCGCCCGGCTGAGTTTAGGCCTTTTACAAAACATTGAGGTATGGAATTGGAGCACTTAAGAAATGCTGAAGTCAACTTTACAAAACATTGATTTTTTTAAAAAAAGCTAAGCTCTTCAAGGATATATTTTCATAAAAGGGAATTGCTAAGGAACTTCTTTTTATTAATATTATTTTCCATGTGAAAAGGTTGATACTTTTCTCATAGGCAAGAACATGGTGGGGGGGGTCTTTCTCAGACTGCCCCCTCCCCCTCATGCCTGGGATGGAATCTGCCTTACACACTCTAAGCACAAGCTACACACCCAGGCATGCTGCTTCTAAATTAAGCTTTTTGGAAAGAAAAGATCTCAGGGGGCAGCTGAGGGTCCTAATGGTCCACTGACTGGGGTGTCTTTTCGAAGCCTACCCTCCCCAGGTCGGGGTTCTGTTACTCTCCCACCCCAGGCCCTTTCTGGCTTAGACCGTTGCAGCCCTGGGTAATTACTCTGTACTTGCTTTTACAGGTGCTTGGTGAGGTTTGATTTGAAGACATGGACAGGGCCTGGGGGTTTGACAGTGAGGAAGGGGGCTGTTGAGCATCTGGGAAAGTATGTAAAAGATGATGTGCTGTGATTCAGTGTGGGAACTGATGAGCTTGACCTGGAGACTGGCCCAGAGAGCGAGTAAACAGTCCTATCTGGTTGGCCTACACCTCTGGGGGACGCTCTACCTGGGAATTCTAAGTTCTTTGCAATCAGAATTTAGTCCTGAGAGTTGTGTCCTGTGTGTGAGTCTCTCCAAACCTTGGTCTTGGACTCAACACTGAAGTAATGTCTGGTCTGCTGCTTACTGACCTTTTCCTCCAGGAAGTCAGAGAATTATCATTGTTACCATAGTGGTCAGTTTTGAAGCGGCATCTTTTCCCTAGGCATTGGTTCTCACCTAAGAGGACAATGATTTTCTTCATTGTTTAGAAATTAACAGTAAAGCTGAGCATGGTGACGTACACCTTTGATCCCAGCTCTTGGGAGGCAGAAGCGGGTGGATTTCTGTGAGTCTGAGGCCAGCCTGGTCTACATAGTGAGTTCTGGGACAGCCAGAGCTACATAGTCACACCATGTCTCAAAACCAAACCAACCAAACAAAAAGAAATGAATTGTAGTTAATGGGATATTTCAGTGTTCTTATACATATGGAGGACTGTGCACCTAACAAGATCTCCTTTTTCTGGTGTATAATCTGATCTCCTTTTATACATTTAAATGCACAAATGAGATACCTAAAGTTATAGTTAAGTGATATTTTTGTTTATTCATGGAATTGTGTAACCATCGTAATTGTAAAATTTAGACCATTTATACCTCTTCAAGAAGAAACTGTACCATCTGTCAATCATCCTCTCTCCCAGTACCATCACGTATCAGTTATCCTTCTCTCTCACTGTACGTATCATCCTTCTCTCTCCCCTCTGCCTCCTCCCTTCCCTCTCAATGCTAAATAACTACTAATCTACTTTATGTTTCTGTAGGTTTCTCTGTGTTAGGCATTTCTCATGAATAATACCGTATCCTTTTATGTAGATTATTTAAATTAAAGTGTAACAAAAGCTTGCTATTTAGAGGAATGTGATGGTAAATCTTTAGTTTTATATATCTTGGCACAGTTTACCAAAGGAATGATGAACAATATTTGTGGTACCACAGTCAGCAATATGTCATCCTTCTCTGTGGTTATCAA